TCGGCGATCTCGGCCTCTGGCATAAGCCTGCCAGTGGGTTCGGTCGCTACGATCATATGGGACAGTATGTCTTGCATTTGTGCACCGGTAGCCATTGCTGTTTTCTTCTCTTTAATCACCAGCTGAAGCTCCTTCCGAACTTCAATGGCCGCCTTGCTACCACGATAAAATTGCGTTCCAGGGAAGTTTAAAATTATGGAATGCATTCCCAAGGTCATGTCATCAAATTTACTCACAAGCTTGGCCACTCGTTCTGGGTCTTCAATCCCCAAGAAGAAACGACTGGCCAAGGTTAGTGTGAATGTCTTGGCAAGGGGGAARACCTTCACTTCATCTCTTCCTTCCCAGTACGTTTGGAGGTGGTGCTGACTGATTGAGTCCATTTTGCCCAAGTATCGAACCAAAGCTTCCGGCTTAAGAAAGCCTGGGGAACGCAAGACTTTTGTCTCTTCCCCGCGCTTGGGGGGAACTGCARCCGGAGCTGAAGCCTGCTGCTGGTAGGAGCGGAAGARCCTCTGCATAGGATGTGGACGCCAAGCTACAACGAGCTTTTGCTCGTTGGAGAAGAGGAATTTGTTACCGGCGGGGCCACAAATAACGGCGGTCGGCTCTCCAAATATTTTGGTCTTGAAGATATCAGAGGAGTACTTCTTCATCCTATCTCCCACAAATTTCTCTGGCTTTCCGAACACAAATTCAAGAGTCTCACCAATGATGGGCCATCCAAGACTACCAGGGGGCAGCTTGGTGGCACCGCCCACCTTGCTGCTTCTGTAAGCATAGAAGCTAAGGGCAAGAGAGACGACGATAAGAAGCACAGATAGAGATAGAAAGAAGAGCTCCATGGTTAATATTTTTGTGTGGACACGGCAAATGTTGAACGAAGTTGTGTGAGATAGAGGCGCAGAGACGTGCTGGTATATATAGGTGAGAGTCAGCATCTAGTCGTTGGTTTTGTGTTTGTTTATTCTTGGTGAAATTATCATGACCGTAATATTCACGTTACAAGCCGGTCAGTACTGGATTTACTTTCAACTAGTTGTAAGTATAAGAAGACGGTCGACCTGTTTTCATATTGCGCTGTCTGAAAGTWTAATAATTATATTAAGAAGTATATTTATATTGGTCAATTTTTCTTTCATCTAAATTACGAATGTAGAGAATATTGTTCTGAATTTTGACTTCTGAAAAATGTCAAATGTCCAATTTAACCCCATATAAGAGAATTTTTATTTATCTATATAATTCAATAAAAAACAATATTAAAAATTATTATAATAAATATTACCTAATATTAATTATTAATAGTAATTAATTAATAATAAATTAAGGATTAATTTATTACTAACAATTAATTAACTATTATTAATAATAATTGATTAATAAATTAATAATAAGTAATAATAATTAATTATTACTTAATTATGAATTATTATTATTAATTAATTAATGAAATATTATTTTATTAATTAATCAATAATTATTTATTTTTATGATTAAATAATACATATTTTTAATAATTAATATTTTTATGAATAATAATTAATTAATTATTAATAAGTAATAATAATTAATTATTATTTTGATTAATTAATAACTATTATCAATAATTAATTATTACTTAATTATGAATTGTTATTATTATTAATTAATGAAATATTATTAATAATTAATAATTAATAATTAATTAGTAATTAATAATTAATTAGTAATTAATAATTAATGAAACTGTGTGGTGATAATTAATATTGTAATTAATTAATTTCTATTAGCATATTACTATAACATATTGTAATGAATATTATAATATTAATCATTAATTTATAATGTTAGTAATATTATATTTTTTTATATTTCATCTATTATAATAAAACTTTTTATAAATTAAAAATAAGATAAAGATGTTTGAAATGTCATATAATTCTACTCGCACATGAAAAACCTGTAGTCTCTCTTCACTTGGAACGTGTAGGGAAGGGACCTTTACCACCCAATCTCGTTTCATATGGATCGATACAAGTACCAAATCTCCAAGCCCAGTAGCACACTATTAGACCTGATCATTATATTAAGACCTGATTGGTCCAAATATAAGACATGGGAAATATCCCCTGCCTGATTTGGCTAGGTTGGGGACCACACAGGCAGCAGAACCTGGTAGGTGTTAATATTGATAGAGACAATACGTAACTGACTTGAGATTTGCAAGCCTTTTCTGACTGTTGACTTATATTTAATTGACTTTCTTATTTTGTGTTCAATTTTCTAATAAAAGAAAAAAATAGAAATTATGCATAGACTATTAAACATCGAATTGAAAGACTATTAACCTTTGTGATCTCATGGTGTCAAAACCGGTTGAACATGAAGGATCATTCAAATTAATTTTCCTGGTCTGGATACCTGTTTCAGACGGAACCACTTGTAGATAAGCTCTCCCAGACTTGCAGTCAATACAATCTATTTCGGAGAATTTTCTATAAAGCCCGCCAATGTGATGAAAATGAAACCAATGGCTAGCCCTAGCTCAAGCAAAAAGCCAATATACAATGTTTAGAGTATACTACACAAACTGCATTAAACAAAAAATATAACATAATAATTAGGACTTATATATTTACAGAGAATATATTGTAAATTTGAGCAACGCTTGTTTTGAAAATAAGAGGTTATAGTTCAATTCCCTTTATTGTGAACAGTAATGGTGGATGAGATATAAATGTTAGAAAAAGCAAACAAACACAAATTAGTGTTTAAAAAACCATATTGCCCTCAGGAATCTGAAGGTTGAGTTTGGAAGGAGTATAAATACAAATATGTAGAGTATAAAATCAATTTTGGGCGAAGTTGAAAACATTTTTATCAGATTTTAAGAGCTTTGAGCAATCCTATTGATTTTGTGTTTTGCTAGAATTTGAGCTCGAATTACTCCCGTAGTGGGCTGCTATAGCAAGTTGGAGAGACGGGTGCCTAACACCTTCCCTCTCCCAATCTTTGGAATCCAAAACCTTTCGTTTTAGTGCCTTTCCCATAGAGAATGGAGTCACCATCAAGGCAAGTAAACCGATTTTTGAATCTAAAAATGAGGGCCCATTTCCTCTAAAAAATGGGTGGCGACTACATCTCTTTGAGCCAACCATGAGCTTCCTAAAGCTCACATAAGTGCCATTTCATTCATTGTATAATTTCAGTCAACGTCCATTCATTGTTTTGTCTTCTTCATTTGTGTTCATATCCCATAACACATAATAGCCGGTCGGGTGTGCTTCCTTAATAATGTACAATCTGACCCAATTAGGAGTGAATTTGTTAGTTGATTTCCCTTGTCGCACATGTATGTCTACAACACCTTTTCCCCTTCTTTGAACTTGCGAGGTTTTACCAGCTTATTGAAGTTAGAAGCCATAAGTTGTTTTTATTTTATCTACCTTCATAGTGATTCCTCTCTAGCTTCTTCTATGCTTTCTAGTTTATCGTCAAGAAATTGATCTATGTCTCCTATCTAGAAATGCTTTCCCATTGCATAAGCAACCCTAGTGGATACTATCTGTATTTCTACTGGTAAGACTGCTTCTTAGCCATAAACTAAGGAGTATAGATTCACCTGTGTACTTTTCCTAATTGATGTGCGATAGGCCTAGAGTGTTTCAGATAACTTTTCAGCCTAGTCTCTTTGGTTCTCAGCCACCATCTTGCTCAACACTCTCAATAGAGCTTTCTTAGTTGCCTCTACTTGCCCATTTCCTTGCGGGTAGTAAGTCATCGATGTCCCCAATCGTGCTCCATACTACCCTAGTAAATCTCAGACTTCTTGATTCTTCATAGATAGTCCATGATCCATAAGAATCTTCATTGGGACCCCAAACCAATGGACTATGTGCTACCTCAAGAAGTTTGCTATATTTTCTATGCAGATCCTTCTCAATGGTATGGCTTCCGCCCATTTCGTTAAATAATCCGTGGCCACAATGATGAAACAATATCCCCTAAAGGGTGAGTGTATTTTGCCTATTAGGTCTACCCCCAAGGTATGGAAGAGCCACAGTGTAACAACGGAGTGGAGATCATTGGCTGGTTTATGTATTCGTTGACCATGTACCTGACATGTGTGACATCTGCATACATGCCATTAACTATATTTTAGCATAGCTGGCCAGTAAAAGCCTAAGTGCAAGGCTTCCTATACAATGCCACCATTTTGTCTCCACAATAGGCCTCATGAGTTTCTTTTAACACTACTATCACTTCTGTGGGTCTAGGCACCTTGCCCTTACTCCATCCGCCATTCTATGATACAACTCTCCATTCACCGGTTGAAATCGCAAAAGCACCTTTCCGTTCCACATCACTGCCATCAATTTCTTTGATTTTTTATCACAACACCTCTAACAACTCTCAACATCATCCTTGGTCTCAATCCAGTGCCCTAATCTCTCTGTTGATGGCTCAGACTATGTCTGAATTGTTATGGTAATTGGTCCATTGTTAGGCTGTATCTTAGATCCCAGGGTGGCTAGAGTGTCAACATATCTGTTCCTATCCCTATTCTGATGTTCATAGGTTACTTCTAAGTCTTTGGTTAGGTTTTGGATTAGTGTTCTATACAACAAGATTATTAATTCTTTAACCGTCATTCTACCCTCCATCTGTCTGATTACTAGTTTAGAATCCCCTATGACTTTTACCTTCTTTGTTCTAGAATCCCTTGCTACTATAAAACCGAGCACTAGTGCCTCATATTCTACGATGTTGTGTGAGCAGGGGAATTGCAACGTAAAGGAGTATGCTGAAGTCTGTCCAGTATGTGAGGTCAATGTAACTCCGTCTCCCATAGAGGAATTAGTGCTACTACCATCAAAGGTTAAGATCCATTATGCTTCCTCTACTACTGCAATGAGGGGGAGGTCTCTGAGTATTTCTTCAGAGATAGGGAAGTCATCACTAGTGGGGAAGGTAGCTAAGAGATTTATGACCGCCTGACATTTAATTTCCCTGGGTTGGGTGTATTTAGTACTATACTCACTTAGTTGCATCATCCATTTGACCAATCTTCCAGAGAGTGGGAGCCTATCAATGAAGTATGTAATCAGGTCACTCCTGGATATCACTACCACCTTCTGGCCTAGGATGTAATGCCTGCATTTCTATGCGATGAAGACCAATGCTAAATACTGTTGTTCCATATGCATGTAGTTTTTCTCTATCAATTTCAAAGTCTTACTGGCATAATAGATGGGGCACTCAACCTTTTCATCATTCTCTTGTGCTAACAAACAACCTATAGCTTCTGAGTTGGACGCTATGTATAACTTGAATTATCGATCGCTCTTCAGAGGGGACATGATTAGGGCTTTAGCTAAGGTCTATTTCAATTGGTCAAAAGCATGTTGATTTTGTTCTAACCACTAGTACTCTGTGATTTCTTAGTGAGCTTAAGGAGAGGCAACGCTGCATGTTCTAGACCAGGGATGAACCTTTTAAGGTAGGAGACCTTTTGTAAGAATGCCTTCACCTGCGACTCAACACTCGAGGGTGGTAAGTCAAGGATTGCTTTTACTTTATTCTCATTTAGGTGAATTCCAATGTGGTTGACTTGAGAATGATCGTCTTTCTTCTTGGCCTTGACTACGATGTCATCCACATAACACTCTATCTCCTTGTGCATCATATCATGGAAGACACCTGCCATTGATCTCTGGTATGTAGTCCTAACATTCTTTAAACTAAAGGGCATCATTTTGTAGTAAAAGTACCCTATTGGCGTCCGAAACTCTGTATGGGGCTAAAGGGATGAGAGATCTATCGTATCGACGCTCAAATCTTGTGGAATAAGGTGGGCAAATTTTAAAAAATTTTCTCTCCCTTCAACTGGGAATCGC